TATATATATATATATATGAGCATACCAGTATATTTCTGAAGTTCCCCATGTTAAATGGTTACAATTCAAGGACCTATCATTAGCATTTTATACCCAAATTTTGAATGAATAAGCAGATAATGCAACATATTTTGAAAAAGATATTGTATATAAATTTTTTCATTTTATTGGAGTCGAGAAACGTTTCCAACCATGAAGCTATAATGATATAGCAGAAATTGCAGTTTTCGATAGCCTAGGAAAATAATTTTAAATATTTTAGTAATGAGTTTTTAAGCATTTTTCCTTCTATCAGAAAATAAGAATATTATTTGGCAATTTTTACAGTGTAAAATTACATAGGACTATAAATGTATTGGTGTAATGTGTACCAATGTAATGGCTTAAATTACATACTTCATAGTTTGTACAATATTCTCTAAAAACATAATAACAAGAGCTATTTATCTTTTAATTTGCTAGAAAAATTTAATTTGTGACTTGTTTTAATTGTAATTATTTTAATTAGACATGAGAAAAGTGATGTTTTTGGTTTTTGACAGATACCTAGCAATGAATTTCAGTTCATGTATTCTGTTTGTAATGTACATGTACATTCAAGAAATATGAGATGTTGTAAAAAAGTAGCAACTCTGTACTTGATAATTTTGGTCCAGTCTGTTACATATATGTGTACCTGTATGTCAAGGTTAAGATTTACAGTATTAACTCTTTCTGCACAGGCTCTGTCCCAGGGACCAACCTCGTAACCATTTTGTGCTTGTTATAATTTTCATGATATAACTTTTAAATTAGTAAGTGAATGTTAATGAAATTTTTCAGATCATCAATAAACATTACAATCTTAAGGTTTGTAAAGCAGTGTTTTTCTCATGCCTTTTTTTTTCTTTTCACATGTTGCCTATCTATCATGCAAAGTAATTTTCATTTTAAGATTAAAAATACTTTTATGCATCAGAAAATTTTCTAATTTCATATGCAAAATCTTTATAATCTCCAGATAGTTATCAAACATTTCTTAAGAAAAAACTTTATATTTTATCTGATATTTTCAGTAATTAATCTCTGTACAGATTTGGTAGATCTCACAACCACCAAAAAAAATTTGGAAATAAATATAAATTATGCCTCTTTCATTCTAGAATGAACACAAATTATAACTCGAAAACATAAATGTTTAGACTAAGTAGCTTAAATCTCATAACATTATACAATTGTATATATTTATTATTTTTATTATATTGACCTTTCAGCCATGCCTGGCTAACAATACAGAAGTTACAATGATACGGCACACGTGCACTCATGTTACCGTATCCAATAACATTAAAATGACCTTTGGTCTGTACAAAGTAACTTGTCTTGACTGTGTTTTAGTAGACTAGTATTTTGTAAAATACAGTCGCATTTCAATTATCATACATTATATATGTATATAGATTATTGCTATTTTGAAATAAGTTCATAAACTTATTTTTCTTAAAACATAGACAGTAAATAAAGAAGTAAAGCAAACAATTATCTCTTCTAAGTATAACCTTTGTACTCGGTTGCTGCTTGACGTAGGTTGCTAAGACTTTAAAAATGTTGCACGTGGAGGATATGAAACAAAACAATTTATTTTAGGTTTAATATATATACATTTGAATAACTAAAAAATTATAAGTTGCTACATCAATACCATAGAATTTCACTATAATTTATCAAGCTTAGTAACTAAGATGTATTTTAGTAAAAAAAAAAATATGAAATTTCGAGCAGACTAAAGACACACCCTACCTCCTTGAAATCTTAGTTCAAAAGAAAGAAATGGCATCCTAAGAAAGCCACTAGGGGGACATTCTGAGCTTCCTATTGGTTATTCATGTCATATATAAAAGTAAATGTAAATAAGGGAGTGTTTCCAAAAATGGAAAGAGGTGGGTGGGGTGCCACTGTGTTTGATTTATTACATGAGCAATATCTTAGCAAATGGATAAGACATCCTAATTTTATATTCTAGCTTGTCAGTATCGGTAATTTGAATTTCTAATTCATATGAAACTATAGACTTAGTATTTTGACTTCACAAACACCTAATTTGAACAAGTCCTGCATTTAACATACCACGTGACACACAAAAATTGATGTTTATCTGTGTTTTTTTAATATTTACTTTTAAATTAATGTATAATACTAAAATTTGAATTATAATCTACAGTTTGATACCAAACTTATCTTATTGACATAAATTCATAAAATAGTAGTTCAATAAAATTTTGAATGTGAGTCAACAAACAAGATGACATGGCCTTTCACTGTGACCCATCTCGAAAGGGTTAAACACATGCATGTATGCATACTTAAGTCAAGATTTGTTGGACTAATTTTTTTTTTTCAGTTACATTTAAATTCTTATATGAGATTTTTAAAATTCTTGGAATCACAAAAAAAAAATGTAGAATTTTGGACTGGAAAAAATAAGGATGCTAATTTATATTGAAATATTTGATGTTTGAATGAGTATTATTTGCACAATTACCATTAATAGCTCTGAAAACATTTATTTTCATCACTTATCATAGCTGTCAGAATAATGTTATTTCTATCTTTTAGTGTCATCCTTCCTTAGTTTTGGTAGATATACTGCACACACAACCATAGAAATGGCTTACTTCTTGTTTAATAGATAATACTACTTGGTTTCTCCTACAGTATATTTTAACTTATATATAAAACTCTGTATATTTATAGTCCATCCTTATCATTGCCTCAATATTATTATAATGGTGCCAAGTATTTGTTTCATTTGATGTAAAGAGAATTAAAAATTTCGGTTGATGCATTAAATCTGACATAAATAGGCTGGAAAGTGAAACAAGTCCATTATTCAACCAAAAGAACTTTATGGTTAATATATAATTCATAAGATTTTTTAATTAATATTAAATTGGTCATAATGTGCCATTTACATAATTTTTGAAGTTAGAAATACATATCACAGAATATGATGTAGTTTGTAGTTATTAGGCATCACAGCAATTATAGTATTATAATTATACATTAATTTAAATTAAAATTAAATTATTAAGATTTTTTTTCCATTGAGATTTTCTCATTCTTGGGGAAAGATAAGACTCAAGCCTTTAGGGACATGAAAATTTACTTGCATATGTTTTCTGTAATACACTCACTTTCTTTAATTCATCATAAAAGTTTTCTTTTATTGTAGTTTTGTTTAAAACCTGCATTATTTGCATGGACTAGTTATATTTTTTCTCTTTCTTTCCATCCTATTATTTGTCTGAAGTAGCAGAAGTCTGTCAACAGCATGATGACAATTTACTTCAGATATGGGTTTCTTTTTTTTTCTTCCCTAGGTGAGAGATTCCTGTTTACTAACCCTCAATATTATCGGCCTTCTGATGTATTTACATATATCTCCCCTTCTGACCGTGAATGCATTGAGCGAGATAGGCTTACAGGTAAAAATCTAGAGGCTATCTCATTAACCATTTTCCTTTTTTCATTGCCTTAACATCCTTGCTTAAATGCTTAGTTGATTAACATCTCTTTAATGTTTGCTATTTTAATTAGCTTCTGTTTTCTTTACTTGATGGTTCCTCTTGCTTTATATTTTGTTTACTCTTTAGTATACTTGCAGCACCAAGTTATATTTGACATGTACCTTGAACCCTTTTTTCATTTTGAAGAGCATTCATACTGGAATGACATTCAATAACATTTTCAGCAATGTTTTGTAATATTATGTACCAGTGTACTATAGCTGTTTTAACTTATTCAAATATATATATATTAAGTACTGAAGAGATTAATTTATAGCTATTACTTGCTATAATATGCTTATATAAAAATATTATGCTGGTAGAATGACTCTTTTCACAGTGCTACATATATAAAAATTGGTAGCTGTGGAAACTAATTTGAAGTTTAAGTGCACTAACACTTTCATAATACTTCCTAAGTATGTTGCTTATTTTATGTGAAAAACTGTCTACATTAATAATATTTTGAGCATTGCATATGATGCATAAACTGTATCATAAATAAATGGTCTATCTAGCTATTCATCTATCCAAAAAAAGCTTTCAGTTTATTTTGTTGAAGTTATAATTGAAAATGTTCTACTCCAAAAAATCACTACAATCAACAGAGAAAGATGGAATGGTAATTAAACAAAGTTGTAAAAACATGCAACTGCAATTTTCCTCACTTCTCCTTCTTTGGTATCACTCATGGATGGCTAAATACATGTTTTTATAGGTGTAGTATCATTAGATAAACTTTAACTCACATGCAGTTATTAAAATTGTGAAACAGGATGTTCAGAGGAAATGTATGTAAAATATGATTTCATCAGACTCAACAAAAATGTAAAGTAACTGTCATCACAGCTGACTGGTTATTTAATGAAGAAAATATTATTTACTATTAGCAAAAGCACCCGGCTTTGCTCAGGTTAGTAGGTTGATAGTGTGTGTATTCTGAACCCATTTTAGCATAAAAGTATAACTATATACTTTGTTGCTAAGCAACATAACATAAAAGCCATTGTTGGAATGCAAAAATGCACTAGCTTTTCTATATATTAAAAGTTGTTACATAAGGAACCTCTTCTTTTCTATGTGTTTTTTTGCTAGCTTGCCTCATAAGAAAAGATGCACGCACACATGTGGATAAGTAATATCAACAACATCTGATATTTTTTCTGCTATAATATATGACAATGAAATTTACATTGTGGTATACATGCCTAAAAGAGGACCCAGTGTGTTTTTGAAACTGTATAGATGTTCTAAGTTCTAGGTCCAAAAATAAATAACTCGAGTCATACCTTTTGGTTATATATTTTTTATTTCTTTGGTCACAATTTAGTATATTTACTTAGCAAACAGAAATAATATTGGTATTATTACCCAGGTGCAAACCCTCAGGGTACACTTTGTATGGGTGCAAAATTTCAGGTTTCTACGCTCTTACCCTTGGAGATATGGTGGTCACATATTCTTTTCTATGTGGTTTTTCCCTACCTTGCCTCATGAAAAGATACATACACATGTGGATAAGTAACAATATCCAGGTGCACACCCTCGAGATCCACTTAGTATGTGTGCAAAATTTCAGGTTTCTAGGTTCTTTCCTCTTGGAGTTATGGCAGTCACACACAGCCCCACAAGGATGCCCTTTCATTATTATAGATGTTAAACAATAAGGTAGCACTTAATGGTCTTCTAACAGTGCTTGTTTCTGGTTTGAAGAGCAACTGGCAAACCACTACAACTCAGGACTAACATCAGAATACAATCTGCTCTAAATGAGAACAGTGGCAATTCTGATCTGTACAAGAATAATGGCAGTTTTGATGTGAATCATTAACTTTGCTTAAAACTCTATTCAAGCTCTGCTAATACATCTAAGAAGATTGGTTTCACTCTTACAGAAATGAAAATGACCTTTCACATGCACTTATTTTTGCATATGTTCAGTACAGCAGATGTTGTGACAACAGAGGAAATGATTTATCTGCATACTGGCAACATACAGAAGCAGACATCTGCTCTAGCCATGACCATGTGTGGCAGCCTAAGGAAGAGATCAGTGTGATTCACAGCTGGGTATAGGCTGTTCACATAGAACTCCTAACTGACCACATACACTCTCTTATGAAGTTTTGAAAACATTATCTGAATATCTCTATATAAAGATATGTTAATATTCTGAGTCAGGAAAATTACAGCTATAATATTTGCTTATCCTGGGTTTCAAATGTACTATATAATGCCTGCATTTCACATATAGAATACTACCCAACCCAAATAAAGTGGCAAACCAAATTGCATTGTGACAAGTAAGTCTTATGACCAAGACTTTTCATAAAATCCACAAAACTATTAATATGTAGCTGTCAAGTTGCAAAATTGATTGCTGTTTTTTAAGGGGAAAAAGGAGCTTTCTATGAAATGTTGCTTCTGATTGGTCAGAACTTGCACAAGAAGCCAGTTACTATTTTTCACATGGTTGAATCCTTGTTTACACACACAGCTTTATGTGATGTTGCACATAATGTAGACACTAGTAGATGAACTTTTACAGCAGATTTTTTTTCACTAAGTTGAAGAAGAACCACAATGTTTTGAAAAATATCACAATGTGCTGAATTTTTTGAAGAAAACTCTTAGAAATGGAAGTAAGTATTATCAAGTAAAAGTAGAAAATCAATAATAAATTTGACCTGATAGTTTGATTCATAAACATGCAATGTATATATGTTTTATGCTACCAATACCTTTTTAAGGGTGTGTGTAGATATCCAGAAAAAGGAGCAATGAAAACAATTGAAAAGTACAAGTGAATGTTTGAAAAGCATGATGTCATAAGTGTTCTTACGACACTCCTTCTTGACTGTCTGCTTCTCCTTGACTTGTTAATTCATCCCCTGTTTCTGACTTTTTTTTTTCTCCTTCTCCAAATTTTTTGCCTATATTGAACATACTTTATCGCAACTTCACTCTGGTGCATGCATGCATCATCCTGCTTTCCCAGTTGCCACATGTCTTGGCTTAACATCAGGCTATATTTCCTTTCTTGGACAACCACACTCTGGAGTTTCTTCTTTAGGCTTGGGGGTCATATACTCTCTTTTCTGTTCAACTTTTTCTGGTCATACCCTCACTACCTTGTTGTGTTACTTTTCCTCCCTTTCAAAGCATTTTCCCATGCTCCTGTGAGGTTTTTGGTGGATACTCATTCTCTCTGACTTGTTTGCATTGTTGCTAGAATTTGTTGGGGAGGAACACTTCTTTTGCAAGTACATTTGCCTCCCTTTTATCTGAGGAAACTTTCTCTGTCTCCTTTCCTCTGCCACCATTTTTTTGATGGAATACCTTATTCTCTGCCATCATGAGTTGAAGCCATGTATCAACATTCTTTCTTGTCCTCCCTTGTCTCTCATCTTTCCATAGCTCTTTCTTTTCCCATTATAATCTCCTTTCCTTCTACAACTTCTCCTTTTCCTGTCCCTTCCGTCTGTTCCTTTGCTTTCATCTGCTCTTTTTCTGTGCATAGTTCTTGGCACTGATGATCTCAGAGCCAGTAAGGGCCTGTTTTGCTTAATTTGCTGATCTAGGGCTTAGGTTTGTGGGTGACTGCTTCATGCTACAATTTTTTTGGAGGGTCTTACTCTTTATTTTTCCTCTATTGCTTCATGTTCCCCTTCCATGGGTTCAGGTATCTTGCTGGCATCTTTGAGTGACAGTTTCAGACACGTTGGCCAAGGATGCTATTGAACAGATTTCCTATCATTCTCCAGGATTTCACTCCATCCCACCAGGACTGCTACATACATATTCTTATCTTTCTTTGGGAGGTGGCATGTTTTGGTTGGTGGGTTAGGCTGGAGAGGTCTCATCTCACACCCACTTAGTATCTGGTTCACTTGTGTGTGTTCTTCATTTCCCATTTCTGTGGAGCTCAGCCTTCTCCACTTTGCTCCCAGGCCATGGTGAGTTTGGTTTCTAAAGTGCTATCCTTTCCTTATCTTCCTGTGTGGGAGTTTCTCTCTCTCTTGGGGTACTTTGGATTCACGAGCCTGATGCAGGTTCTGGACTGTTTGTTTTTTCTGCCTGATCTAGCAATGCTTCTATTCTTTATGGATGAAGAGTGTACCCTGTTATAGACAAGGTTCAGTCTCCTATGGATATACCCCTATACTGTTGCATGGTATATGGTGTCACATACCATGAGTACCCTTTGAGCATTTTCCAAAGGGGGCTCATCGTAAATTTTGCACCAGTCTCTCAAACTTCAAGGTGGAATTCTAATTGTTTTTGAGCACAGGTTACATATTATATTGGAAGTTAACATTTTTTAACTGAAAATATATTTCCAATTCATACTCGACTCTTTCCACCCTACTGTGGGTCCATCTTCTTTTCTTTCCTAATCTCAGAGTGATGATTGAATAATTAGTATAGAGGGAGTCAGCTGTGTTAGGAGGGTGTGTCACACTCCTATTGGTAGAGGGTTGTTGCAGGCTCATTTGCATGAAACAATGTTGCAATATCACGAGAGTTTAGGTGGTAGTCTCAATGCTAGTGGCAAGGAAAGTAAGTTTGCATATAGAGGGTAGCACTGAATTGGGAAGCTTTATGTGAGAGGTTGTGAGTATTTATTGGAAATACATTTTCAGTGTTGGAAAATGTTAATGTTGTGCACAGCCACAAGTGCTAGTTTAGTAACTTTTTTAGTGTATACACTTATCATTACTATTATGAAATGTAAAATGAAAAATTGAGAAGTGAAAACTAAACCATGTTTGCCATAAATAGTCATTTAACATTCATAAACAAAATCTAAAAATTATCCAAATTGTAACATAATTGTAGATGAATGACTGAAAAATTTACATGGCAATGCTAGAGATTTATTCTGTATTGTATAAAAACAAGACAAAACAAACTATAAA